GAAAGTAGTGCCCACATCGCCGCCAGCAGAACAGTGGACCGACCAGCCCACCAGAGCATCATCCACTGATGCTCTAGGACTTAAGTAGTTGTTTAAAAAGCGCTGAGGGGTTAGGGGTTCTGTTGGGAACATAGCTGCACTGTCCAGTAGACTCACCATGGGTTTTAATGCAGAGTTTGCCCTACTAATACTTTTAGCCACAGGTGCCAGTCCAGTTCCTTAGCACTTAATCAGCTTTTGACCTCAGAATATGAGAAAACTCAGACCAAAGTTTGTTGAGAATTCTCAAAGGAGGGAGCTGTTGGGGTCACTGGGCATGATCCTAGGTAACTCGGAGGAGTGGAAGATCACAAGAATCGATGAAGCCCCCCTGCTCTAGGCCCAAGCACCCTAAAAGCACCCCCCCCTTCCGCCCCTTTCTCCCCCCCAGCCATAACTTTTCTCTGGCTCGCTAATAGCTGGGAACGGCAAGACAGACCTTGAGGTTGCCTAGTTACTATCAGTGGTATAGAAGAAGAATTCAGATGTGTCTCTGTAGAAGAGAGGAGGAGGATAAGGCTGGCAGCGTGTCCCAGCGTGGGAATCTTGCTACAGTTCACTATTTTCCTGCAAGTAAACAACCTGGGTATATAAAGAGGGAAAACTGCTTATGTTAGTGTGCTTGATCTGAGATGTCTAGTCTTCTGGCACCTATTTGAGCATTCAAATAAACTTTTTTTGCTTCTCCACACCGGTGTGTTTATTGGAGCGTGCACCGGGCAACGAACCCAGTTGTTGCCTCCCTCAGGCACTCTGTGCCGGCAACACAAGCATTTGCTTTTGTATGAGTGAATAATCGTATAAGGGTATAAGAATTTAGGATAGGTCAATTAGATTAAAAGAGTGCTAACAATGTTAAAATGATGGAATCTTAGTTTACTCTTTAAGCATGAAATACCTATTTATATAAAAAAGTCTATTCTATTCATTGAGAAGGTCTTAACAACCCTCATCTTTCTTCAGCACATGCATGATGAAAATTAAGCGGAACTGAGACTGGTTCCTTCCATTTAGTTATGTCACTGTTCATCTGATAGTTTGTTTTTCATTTTGTGTATGTGTCTCACTGCTTTACTCCTCTGTAGAAGTGTCCAGCACTCGTGTGATAATTAGTATTCATCTGTTGCTGCAGAACTCCTTATCCTAGTAAGACTCTTAAGTAGTAGGAGAAAAAGCAGGACTCCAAAACCAGACAAGTTATTGGAACAGAGAGACTTTAGACAGGATTCTCTTTTGAGTCCTGAAAACTTATATGCTTGTAAATGCACTAGCAGAAAAATAGCTATCAATTAAAAAAGTAGAAAAAACTGAAAACATTCTCTTAACATTTAAACGTATTGTACAAGTTAGACCTCTCTGGTCTGGTCCAAAATTGAAGTAACAGAACATTAAAATAGCCTGATCCCCACAGTACCGCACTCCACATGCTGTTGTCTGCTCTTCTCCTGTTTAATATTTTAATTTTAAGTTCTGTTAAGAATAAGCCTCCCACAAGGCATTCTTGCCTATATGAGAGTGTGCAATATCTTTCCCCCACAAAATAGTCTTCTATGGCTACTCTGGGCTGGGATCAAAGCCGCTTGGATCCTGGTCTCTTCTCTACTAAGCACTATGCTGTTTTCAGCCCTCCTTACTGACCAAGGTCTCGTATCCAGGATTTGAGTACTCCTTGGCACAACAGAATCAAATTGTATGTCAAGTACCCTTAAATCTCATAGCAACAAACCCTAAACTATACCCATTAAATAATTTGTATAACATGCCTCTTGAAACTGCAGAAAGTTTGGCAGTTACACCAGCAGCATGAGAATGGAACAGAGAAACATACTTCACCAATCTTGAAAAAAGAGCCATCAACTAGTGCAGGACTATGGAACATGTGAATTTTGGCAGCAGGCAACAAATCCTTTACTGTAATCAGCTAAAAAGCAACAACTTCAGCAATCTGGTTTTCGTTCACTGGCACACTGGGTTAGTCTATCGCACTCCAATTATAGCACTGATCCTGCAATTAGATTCATGCATGTAGCACCATATGCCTTTGTCAAGTCCAATGAAGTATGGCAAGACAAGATCAGGACATGAGAAATTTTTATTCACTGGGAGAGAACAGTTAACTGACACAATTTCATTTTTAAAAACACTGTTAAGTTAAATGATATTTTTAGAAATAGGTTCATCTTCCCTGTATCAAATATATAATCTAGATAACAAAAAAGTTAAACTAATTTACATTTCAACACTTATAACGTTAGCTTTTTGCACATAGTACTAGTCAGTTTCACTTTTTAGAGTCTCATACGCTAGCACATTTCCAGCACTCAAGTAGTCCCCTGCTGGCCCCGTGCTCCCCATAGCATTTAAAAGTGGCAGTGCCACATGCAGCCCGGGATCTGGCCCCAGGTGCCACACAGCACTGCCGCTTTTGAAGTGTGCACACACACACACACACACACACGTACGTCTATCCCTTGCCCTTGCTGCCTCTTTCTGATAGAGGCAGCAAGGTGGTTGGGGGGGAGGGGAAGGGACTAATCGACTAGTCTGTGGACTATCCATTTGCTTATCGGACAGCTGACTAGTCGTTCACATCCCTATTCTAGAAGTTAATCATATTCAAACAAAGCTTAATGTTTTTCTAGTTGTAAGACCTTCGGAAACACTCAACTTGCACCAAAGCAGAAACAAAACAAAACTGATATTAAAGTCAGCTTTATCTAATTAGATTTTTCTGATCATGTATCAGCAGCACCACCTTGTGTTAAATAGGGATGTCCCTGTGTAGATGACTACACGATTAACCAATAAGCCTGGGCTTATTGGCTTATGATGTAACTCAAGGACTATGTTAAGATCATGCTTGGTAAACAATAACAGTGTAGAACTGGAAATCAATTAATCAAAACTAGAATGTCACAAATTAGACTTAGTTGATTCACAAAATAATGAGATAGGCTGTTCTGCCTATCACTCCCTTCTGAGTTTCTCAAAGTGTCTTTTTTCTAAGAGGAAGATTAGAGAGGATAAGATAGCTAATCACTGACTGAAAAAAGAAAAAAGGAAGATATGAGCTTCACCAACATGTTTGCCCTGCCCCTGCTTTCCTCTCTCCCCCCGCCCCCTGTCCTACCTTCCTAAATCTGATTCGGCCTAATCCTGAAGGATGTCCTGCCCAAAAAAAGTCGGAGAGGAACCAGCTAACAGTGCCATCTACACTGGTGGTATGAGTTTGCCAGCTGTCAAAGTAGGTGATAAGACTATGTACTATGCCTGTGTTTCTCTAACAATGAGTTCACGAGTGAAAGTCAGTATCAGAGACAGAAGCTACTTCTTTTAGTAGTTGCTTTTCTTTTCTCTTTCCTTTTGTGTGTTTCTCTCTTGTTTTGTCTTCTAATGGGAGCCAATACCAAGAAGAGCAGCAACAGTTTCAACCCAACTCAAAAAATGGGTTATTACTATTTTTTATATAATCTACAATACAGATGTTAACCAATGGGGGAGGGAATCTGGCTGCAGAGCTGCCTCTCCCTGTCACAGGCAGGGTCTGCTCTAGCATTCAGGTCAGAGAAGCTCTTGCCTGCAAGGTGCTCTGACTTCATCTTGAAGCCACAGATGAAATTTAGTCTTAGTAAATGCAAAAAATTCCAGCCATACAAACAAAGTGATGGGATCTAAAACTTTCTGGTACCATTCCAGAAAGATCTTGGAGCCACTGTGTATAATGCTGTGGAAACATCTGCTCAATGTGCATGGATTGTCCAAAAACTACCAGGATTTTAGGAACCATTAGGAAAGGGACAAAGCGCTTCCGAATGAGAGACAGACTGTTCATCTCAGAACAGGGAGGATGAAGGGGATTATAATTAGTGATATAGAAAACTGTTAATAATGTACCAACCATGTAACCATTAAAAATCTTAGCAGTTACAGAGTTACACGCTGCGGGCTCTGCAGCATAAAGCTCACTGCAGAGCCCACAGTGCAGCCAGCTCCCCAGAAGTGGGTCCAACAGCGAGGAGCTGGTGTGGCAGAGAGCCCGTTTATGCTGGTCCCGCTTCCGTGAAGCCGGCTGTCAACCCATGCTGCGGACTCGGATACAGTGTGTAGTAACAGCTAACTCCCTGGACATAGGGCCAGCAACCGGGATCCAATGCACAACATACGCTAGGAGCGGACTTAAAAGGTGGCTCTTGACCCATACCAGCTCTTGACTACCAGCCCCACTCCCAGGGATCTGGCTGTGCAGTGGGCTCTGCAGAATAAACTTCATACTACAGAGTCTGCAGCGCGGGACAGCAGCTGGTTTCCTGGGAGCATGGCCAGGAGCTAGCATGTTTGGTAACGGAAACTGATAAGTTGATGCTTATTGGTTAACCATTTAAACAGTTACATCCCTAGTTATGACAGAAGCCTATACAAGCATGAATGACGTGAAGAAGGTACATAAGGAAGTATTATTTACTCCTTAACACAAAGAACCAGGGTTTTCCTAAGAAATTAATAGGGCTAAAAACAAAGAATACTACATCACATAATTCAGTCATTCATGGAACTCCTTACCCAGAGATGCTTTGAAGGCCAAAAGTATAACTGGGGTAAAAAAAGTTAAGGGAAGATAGGTCCATCAATGGGTATAAGTCAAGATGCTCAGGGATGCAGCTCCATGCTTTGGGTGTCCCTAAACCTCTGACTACCAAAAACCTGACACGAGACAACAAGGGATGGATCACTCAATAAAATTGTTCTATTCTGTTCACTCCCTCTTAAACATCTGGCTGTAGCCCCTGTGGGAAGACAGGACCCTGAACTAGATGGACCACTGCTCTGACCAAATACTGACATTACAGTCTTATTTAACACTAAGTTATGGCTGAGGGTGAAAAATTATTGTTCTAATCTGAATATTTACAACATTTAGCCAATTACAATTTAGGAGTTAAACATTTGCTTTTGATACTTACACTAACATAGGCTTCCCAGATATCCTAGGATGCCTTAAAACTTCAGTCATGGTCTCTCTCGTCTCTTCCATTCTCTCTGTGTCACTCGAATCCACAACAAATATTATCCCATATGCCTCAGCATAGTAATTCTTCCAGATGCCTCGTATTCGTTTTCCACCTCCTAGGTCAAAGATAGTAACTTCAAATCTTCCCTGTTTCAGGTCAATTTTAGAAAATCCAACTGTTGGAGCTACATCTTCAGGAGACTCTATCAAATCACAAAGAAGAAAATACGTTATAGCTAAAAGAACTTTTCACCCAATTTCATTTATTTTATGATTTATGTGTCAAAAATTCAATTCTAACCCCGTACAACTAAAATGGCCAATACACTGCTAATTACATTTTAGATTATGCTTCCCAACTCCCCATGAAAACATGAAAACAAGTTTGTACGCTTAATTCCAGATTAACACATGCTTCTATGTGAAAATTTCCTTGTTTTTTTTTAAAAATACAAGGGTTGCTGAGACAAAACCAAAAAATGTACCGGGTGTCTTTCTAATTCTGTAAAAGTGTGTGAAAAAATAGCAGTTTGAGATGTGAATTACCCCATTTGTCTCAAGATTTGCAGACATTGCAGTAGTGGAATTTGGTATTTTCATTGATTTTGCCATTTTGCTGCAGTCACATGCACAGCATTTTGCTGACTGCCCTGTAGGGACCAGCCTGCAGCTGCTTCTCACTCTCTAGCTCCTCTCTGAGGGAGCTCATTAGAGTGCTATGCACTGTTCCATGGAAGCCAGGGGAGTCCAGCTTACAGCCAGAGACCATGGTGAGTCAGGAGCAACAGCCTGAAGAACTCACAAGCCTCAGCTGCTGCAGAAACTAGAAGGATGAACCGCGGTAATGGATATAAGCAGGGCTTGACAAGCAGCGGCGAGTCCTGCTCGCCAGCCATGCGGTTTGGCATGCTGCGCATGCGCAGATCGTGCTGCAGTGCCATGCCGGGCTAAAATCTACTTGCCACGGGCCAGTAGATTGCTCTAATTGTCGAGCACCTTCCTTCGGACACACCAGAGGATGGTAATTCTGAGCCAGACCACTCAGACAACATCACGACCTTAGCAGCACAGCCAGGATTCATAGAAAGTATAGTTAAAAAATTCCATATTCAGAAACAACAGGCAAATGTTATGCAGAGTATTTTCAACTACGAGATATAATGATGTGTGTTTTCACAGCATGACCAGTGAGAACGAAGGACATTTTCATGGTTGCAGAATGTATTAATGTTGATGCAGAATTTGAGGGGGCTGCTGCTACAGAATTTGGTCCCATTGTCTGTGAAATACAGAGGCCCCAAATTATAATGGACAACCTTTTCTGTGAAACTTTCCTGGCTAGTGATGCCCCAGGACAAGCCTTTGGCTGCTATGCTGATCGGTCCAGGTATTGAGAGTTGAAATACATTAAGGTGTGTTTATTTGGACTACATGTGCATGACAATGCCCTCAAAACCTCTCAAGGTCTCTTCCAGTCCTAGTATTCGATGATTCTATGATATTTACCATCCAATGGCATTAAGGACCGCCTATGCACAGCTAAACAATTAGCTACTAACAACCCTGGAAACTAATAGGATGCACTCTCCTCCATGAGGTCAGATGAGAAAAACAAATGTGACATTTCTAGGTCATGCTTGTTTCCACAATAAAGCATTAAGAAACTTTCAACCTAGTCAGAATATCTTTATGGAAATACCTAATCCATTTTTGTTCCATCTTTCTAGAGGGAGTTTATCCTGGAAGGGGACCTTTCTGGTAAATGTCAAGGGAAATTAGTTTATTTTGCATTGGAGGTATTAGTATCAGTGTGGAAATAACAGCAAATTAAATATCAACAATGGATTCACTGTCCCTAAAAAACGATCCAGGACAGAACAGTGAAAAAGACTTTATAACTTCACTTTTGCCTGATAAATTCAACTAGTAATCTGCAGCAGAGAGTTTTTCTTCATATCTGCCAGTCACATGGCTGAGATGCTAAATAAATGGACATAGTTGAAAAACCTTCCATCATTTCAAACACAAGTTGCACCAAAATCTGTTTTTTAAAGGCACCAGTTTTATTTTATTCCAATTACAGCCTGCATGCATATGTATTAGTGAGTGGAGAGGGGCAAGCTAAATTTCTCTCCCAAGTCAGATGAGCTCTTGCTGTAGAAAAAGTCTAGAAAGCTACTGGTGCTTTCCTAGTTATAAATGATGACACACACACATATCATTAGAACTATCCTTTAAGTTACACACACATCATTTCCTTCTTCAAATTTCTTTGCTAATCATACTCGCAGTCAATAACATAAAATAGGTTATACTTACAAAGTTTACTTTATATAACGTTTAATGATGTATGCCTTTTGGGTTATATTTCATCAGAAGGCAATTTCTGTAAAAAAATCGTATCTATTGATTTCTCTAACCCATGCTAATAAAAGATATGCCTCATTAACCAGAAGAAACACTTTATATCTTTGCAATCATTCAAAATTATGAGCTAAAATATCAATCCTAAAAAAATTTCAAATATTATTCTCTTTCTTTCTGTCACAAAGCTAGCAATTTATAGTCAGCTCCTTCTCTAAGAGGAACAGCATCTTAACCTACGAGGAAAAACATTGCATGCTCCTGTCCGATGCAGGATTTCTCGCCTAGGGCAGATGCACACATGAATCATGGTTGTGCGCACACTTTGCGGTACAATCGCCAGATGCAGGTGCACACAAACAGGGGATATGCACCTAGATTCTCACTTCTGAAAATTTGGGCTTGGAATTTTACAGATACTCAAGATAATTGTATGCTAAACTTCCACTGAACTTAAATGGAAACCAGAAGCCTAATTCCTTTCAGATCCCTTGACTCACTGGACTAAAACTGGGATTTTTAGGATGGATTCAACTGCAGGACTGAGACCTACATTGTCAAAGCAAGATGCCCAATTAAAAGTCATTTTTAAAAGGGACACCATAAACTAGGTTCCAGGCTCCTCAGTTATCCCTTGTAGTGGATGAATTCACATGTTTTCCCCCGTCTTTATGGGGTACATTCAGGCTGCAGTTTCCTGACTATGCAGCGATATCCCCAGCAAAAGACAGACTGCTTAGAGAGGCCTCTTATGTCATTTCTTACAAGATAATTATACAGTGCATTTGCAACAGCCCTTTAAAAATCAAGCATATTTATTCTTAAGGTGAAAGCATTACCAGAAAAAAAAAATTAAAAATAAAAGAGCCTACAAGCATGCTTACAAGCTTACCAAGGATTGTTCCCTCACCAGTGTTCCCTCTCAGCATGGAGCTGACTAATCACCTGTGAAGCTGTACTGCCACATAGCTTAGAGGGAACACTGTCCCTTCTCCCCAAAAAGGATTGGTTATTCTTACTTCCCATCCCATACCAGGGGATTTTCCTATGGTCACAAGTTTATCACAGCTTCAGATCACAGCCAGCTGAGGTCTCTCAGGATGAGAGGCTCTTTCAGGTTTCTGGATCAGAAAGAAGTCCCAAGCCAGTTTTAACTCAGGCTATTTATCCAAAATTCCTTTAAGTGTTGGCCCTTGGAAAATCCACTTTTGAACAATCACAGGCAGGCCTCTTCCCAGTGATAGAAGCTTTCTGGAAGTGTTATGTGGAATATGACTGGAAGTGAAGATGTCTAAGCAATGCCATGCAACACACACACGCACACGGTTCCCAGCTTCTGGAGAGCTGTTGTCCCTCCTCCTCCATGTAAATACATACAAACTCTCAATAAGACATTGGCATTCTCATTTTTAATCTTTATTTAAATAAGTTTGTCCAGGACATTGTCACAGCTGCCACACCACCTAAGAATATTACAGCAGAAAGATGATGATTCCCCACAATTTGAGGCTCTGTTTTTGAGAGCAACTTTGTATCATGTTTCATTTTTTCCTTTTGCCCTTGTTTGATATACCATATAAACAGAGCACATAAAACCCTTTCTAAATAATTTAATGAGATATAAGAATTGAGATCACATCATTTAGGATTTTTTTAAATTTGGTCCTTTTAAAGAGAACTTTTGAGTAGATCAGTATTTTAGCCTTAAAATACTTTGTTCAGAACTTCATATAAAGATTTACTGCTTACCTCCTTGGATTCCTTTCACTGTAGCAGTTTTACCAGCATTATCAAGTCCCACCATCACTAGTGTCACTTTCCTTCGTAAAAAGAAAAAAAATATTGCAAGGCATTTTTACCCTAGTTGAACATTGTGAGAGATCTTCCACAAGCGCTGAGAAGTATAAATAGCTAAGTTACCACAAAACTGTATTATCAGTAGGCTTCAAAATATCCAGTACCAAAGAGACTGTTTGTGTATTTCGCACTTAACATATAGTCATCTGATAAGAGAGGGCAGCAAAGTAATAAAGAGATAAGCTTAATAGTATAACTTGTGATAGTAATACTTGAAAAGATAGGTATAAGACCGATTTTGCCTTTAATTTATATTCGTTTTGGGGTTCTTTTGGAAAATGAATCCCAGTTACCATCAAATTGAATACCATATTTTTGGCACAGTTATATTCTCTTTAACAACTGCCATAACTTCCATTTCCCTCTTTTCCTTCAGCACAAACTAAAACAGAAGCCCTGTCCACACTGAGGATTTGATCGTATTGCAATCAGTGTAGCTACATCACTTAATACTCCACCGCAGATGAGTTGAGATATCCTAGTTGCAAGCATGGGTGCAAATTCTCCATGGGTGCAAACAGCAACATTGTCTTTGTATGCTACATGTTCATACAGGTAAAGTGATACCAATGTCTAACCAAAGCAAATCCCCCAGGCTGCTTTCAATGAGGAATATGTCAAATGTGTCACTTTTGCTGTAGCCCTGCTAAATTCACATACCCATTTCTCTTTGTGACTAGGATTATTTAAAATACAGTAATGAGGAAATATATTTTCATTACTTTCTCAATAACTCAAGTGATGTTGAACGGATTTATGAAAACAAAAAATAAAACCAGAAGCTTTGGAAACTAACACCTTCTAGAATCTGATTTTAAAAATAGGGAAAACTGATATTTCGGCAAAGCTGAATGACAAGTCTTTATATTATGCCAATTAAAGGGACACTAAATAAAGCAGGGTTATTTCCAATCTCTTTTAGAACATGACAGCATTTTGTGACAGTCTAAATTCATGAAGTTGCACACCAATTTGTTCAGGGCATTCAGAAGGACAAGAGGAAATAGTGCAAGAGGTAGAAAGCAGGATTACATTAAATTCTAGTGGTGCAAATAAGCAGCAACCAAAAGAATCAACTAAAAAAAAAGCAGAGAAGTCCAGGGTGGATAAAAATCAATGGTGTTTTTTTTAAAAATAAAATAATTGGTTATTGTTTAAGTTATCAATAAAATACTACATTTCTCATTTAAAAATAAATTACAATTAAATCTAATCACAAACACACTACCCCTAGGCTGTGTCTAGACTGGCCACTTTTTCCGGAAAAGCAATTGCTTTTCCGGGAAAACTTGCCTGCTGCCTACACTGGCCGCTTGAATTTCCACAAAATCATTGACCATCTCATGTAAGATTGTCAGTGTTTTTGAGGAAATAATATGCTGCTCCCGTTCGGGCAAAAATCTTTTTCCGAAAAACTTTTGCGCAAAAGGGCCAGTGTAGACAGCAGAGATTTGTTTTCCGCAAAAAAGCCCAGATCGCGAAAATGGCGATCGGGCTTTTTTGCAGAAAAGCGCGTCTAGACTGGCCATGGATGCTTTTCCGCAAAAAGTGCTTTTGCAGAAAAGCGTCCTGCCAATCTAGACTCCCTGTTCCGAAAAAGCATTTCCGGAAAATCATGCCAGTGTAGACGTAGGCCTACACTTTCAGTCTCATAAAAATGAATTAATAGCTCTAGTCCAAGGGTGGGCAAGAGAGCCACCGGGCCCACCAAGCGGGTGGATCCAGCCCGGAGGTCCTACCGCTCCCCCGCCCCAGACCCTAATTAGCCTGCGAGCGGGGGAGCACACGAAGCCCCAATTGGCCTGGGGGAGCACGCAAAGCCTCCCCTGCTCTGCTCCTGCCCTGCGAGCAGTGCTTAAAAGCACCACATCCTCTTGGCAGGGTGGGGGAGGCTTTTAGGCAGGGGTCCCCTCCTGTTTCCCTCTGGCGCCAAGCTGCGCTGCCCTGGGAGAGGGCGAGCCTGGGGGAGGAGAGTCCTGGGCAGACAGATCGCCAGTGTGGGGAACGGACGCAGCTGCCGTTGGGCTTTATGCGCAGGAAGGGATGGCCTGCAGAGCTCTGCACGGAAACAGGTGCAAATCCCCATATTTGGCTACAGAGTGAACCTCTGCCCTGGTTGTCCTGATTCAGGAGAACCACCGTGCCTCCCGTGCTGCCGCCCCACCTGACCCCCTAGCATGGGCTCCCTGGAGAATGAGATACCCTGAGGTGTGGGGTGTTTGTGGGGGACCTGTGTGTCTGGTGCAGGGGTGACGATGCAAAGCTGGGGAAGGAGCATGATGGATAATGTCCCACCCTATATACATGAAGTCTCTTCCCTTTGGGACGTTACCACTTGCTAGGATCCTAGGTCTGCACAAACCAGATTCAAAAGACCTTAGCTCCTCTAGTGCAGTCTTATCCTTCCCGAGCGGTGCTGAGTGCAGGCTTGATCGAGCCCCCGTTGCTTGATACACTCCGAGGACTGGGGAACCACTATACCCAGGGACCTTCCCATTTTCTGAAGGGATAGTCCCATGTTCCTTGCGGGCTGCTTGGTGGTGGTTCTTGTGGGGGTTTTTTAAACTCTTGCTTGGTTGAGCAGAGAGTGCATGTGGGACTGCTATGGTACACCTCAGCCCTGTTTGGACATGACCCTCTTTACCGAGTAGACTGATGTTCACTGAGCTAAATGCTCTTAGCAAACTGCTACCAGGACACATATTTGGTTCTATGGCAGCATAAAGAACTACCAAGGTTACAGGAGAGATGCACCAGAAAAGCCATTAATCAGATAATCTGTTAGCCTAGGAGAGAGGCTGATGGGATATAAGTGTGTATGAGGGGTGAGGGGGGAAAATAAGTGGCTTATGTCACAGAACAAAGTCAGCTGAAGATGTAATAAGACACAAGAATCCCTATGGCATTAGGAAGACCAGAGATGATGAGGAAGAGATCAGTGTAAGTCCACTGGTCACCTCCCTGATGGGATTCATTTTGTCAAGTCCCTATAACCCAGTCCTTCTGTGGTTACCAGTGAGTTCACTCCCTCGCTTGTTGGGAGCTTGTACAATAACCAGACTGTTATATAATATGGAGCTGGATGGCTGGTCCTGGGTGTGTTTTCAAGCTGTCCAGTGTCATGGCAGAAAGCTGCCTGGAAAAGGAGGGTGAAGTTGTGGCAGAGATAGGAAAGCAGTGTCATTAATGCAAGCTCCTAGACCAGGGGTGGGCAAAAGGGCCTCCGCGGGCCGGATCCAGCCTGCCAAGTGGGTGGATCTGACCCACAGAGGCCCTGCTGCTCCCCTGCCCCCAGGCCTTCATTGACACCCAGGCAGAGCCACACAACACCTGTCTGCCTGGTATGAAACCCCAGCAATGGGTGAATTCTGGTCTTTGCCCCCAAGACCAGAGGGCTGCTGAAGCCGGTGCACAGGCTCAGCCTAGGTTAGCTCCAGTTGAGCAAGCACCCAGCCTGGCCCAAGGCGTTGCCCCCGGCTGCCCAGACCAGAACTCCACACAGCACAGGCGGCAGCATCAGCCCAGCTTGCCAGGGAAGACCCACCTGCGGAGTGCTGCCAGCCAGGCCAGTGAGACAAGCCTGCATCTTTTCAAGCCTAGCCTGGGAGCACTGAGCTCACCTGGCCACTGCACTCCTCCACGCCCCCCCCTCCAGGCTTCAGTCTTTGGCTTCCCTACCTGTAGGGTGTGAGCAGGGTTTCAGGGGAGCAGAGCCAGTTCAGCTCATGGGACGGGCAGCCGCAGCTGAGCCGTTCCCAAAGCAGCTGGCTCATCCTGGGTCCTTGGGTGGCAGGGAGAAAATGCAAGTAGAGTAGTCAAGTACTCAGCTGACTACCAGATAAATCTAGCCTAGGCTTATTGGGTAGTCAAGTACTCAACTACTCTCTTACATCCCTAGTGCACACTGCTTTCTATATTCCCACACACTATTGCCACAAAAAGCTGTCATGGCTACCTGGGAATATTTTGAAAAAATTCATTCCCTGGGTATAAAAGGAGAATGTATCACGTGTATGCTGTGTAAGATGATGATGCAGGGCCTTTTTCCAAGAATGAAGCATCATAAGAAAAACTGCATATCTGGATAAAATGATGTGGATGAAACTGTGGATATGGCTGAGTGGATCAACTTGTTAGTAATTTAAACAATTCAGAAAAGGAGGAGTCCTGTAGCACCTTAAGGACAAACAGATTTATTTGGGCATAAGCTTTTGTGGGTAAGAATAGGGATGTAAGCAACTAGCATAGGGTTACCGGGTAGTCAAGTGACATGTACCCCTCGCACAATCAGGCTCGCTGCAGCAGCCATTGAGGGGCTCTTCTCACCTGACCCCAATATAGGGATATTAAGAAACATGTAATTTATTAATCGTGTATTTGACAAATCAATAAGGGTTTGCATTGAAAGTCCTCAGTCCTGGCTTGCACCAGGTTCTGGCAACTATCCCCGCTGTGGCTCTGCGCTAGAAGCACTTTAAGAGCCAGCGCACGAGCAGGCTGGCTCAGACCCGGCACAATCCAGGACTGAGACAGCCTGCCTGCATGCCGACTTCCCAGTCCTATAATAATGCAGAACCACAGTGGGGGATGCTGCCAGGACCCAGCATGAACTCTCCCCAGGAGCAGAGCAGGCAGCCTTTGCCCACTTGGCTCCTGGGGAGGAGGCTTCGCTGAGTGTAACCGACATAGTTAACCGATAAGCATCTGCTTATCAATTAGTCAACTACACACACTATTACATCCCTAGACCTCAAGCTGCTGCGGTGACAGAGGGCTGAGGTTGTCATCTCTCCCCGAGCACTCTGCATGCTGAATGCTTAACTCCCAGCCCCACTCCAGAACAATGATTTAAATGAAAAAACAAAAAAACCCTCCAAAACATATTTGATATAAGGACCTGAACAACGCTGGGTAAATCTTCTAATACTGTAGTTTTAAAATACAATTTTTAACTCTCAAGGTTGTCAAGAAATGTTCATCAAACAAACAGATGTAGCTTTATTCTCTTGAGTCTAGAAATTGAGAATCCAAAACAATGTCTCTGAAAGGTGTCAGCAAGCCCACCCCGAAAAGAGAGAGAAAAGACAGGAAGATGGGGGAAGGAAAAAAATTGAGTAGAAACAACAGTGGTCCAAAATGTGAGATTACTCTACCAGAATGCTGACTATAACAAGACAATTAAATAATGTTGATTAAAACTACAATTTCCCAAAGGCCATATTCTACCCTTGACATTTGTTCACAACTCTCAATGACAGAAGATGAGCTATAGATTAAGAATAGTGTATTTTCCTTAAATGTATACTGTGGCCCACGGACAATTAAAAACAAAATCCAACTCTCCCTCAACAGAATTAATTTGACAGCTCTATATTAGATATTATTTCAGAAAACTACTTTTTGTGAAACAGATGAGGCATGCTCCCCTTTACAGAATGGAATTTTAATACGCTGCTCTTTTGTATATTAATAATACAAAATACCTCTGAAAGATAAACAGAGTCCTTTTAAATCACTGCTCTTCTCTGCCCTCATTCCCAATGTAAGTCCACACGAAAGAGAGCAAAGTATTTTTAACTTCAGAAAGTCTGTCAGAAAAATTATCTGAGCAACTGATCCTTGGTTTGTGTTTTGTTTTAAAAACTTCAAAAACATGTAAGATTCTCTCTCAAAAATAAAACAATTATGCACCTTAGGTTTAGGTCGTTAATGCAAATAAATATATAAATAAATTGTGTTTTACCAAAAGAGAGCTAAGGAGAAAAGTAAGAGACAAAACGATAGTATGGAGTAACCCTGGACATACAGTACAATACATAAAGCTCTTCGAGGTTCTTTAGGATGGAAGCCACAGTAGTAACATAGAATGTTCTCATTTGCTTAATCCTACCTGACAGGCTCCTGCCACCGTTTTAACCAGTTACAGCAATTGGCCATTAGACTAAACATTCCTCTTCACCAGCCATTCAGAGCCACGGAAGCTACTGAAATGGTGTTTGGAAAGGTCACAGAGCTCCAGTGAGAGACAGGAAGGTGGAGGAGCAGAAAGTATCAGCTCAGATGCAGTGTTATCACTAGTAGCAATGAGAAAACAAAACAAAGAGCACAGTCAGTCCCCAAGTGCAACTAAAGCAAACTTCCTTTCCCTTTTCAGGAAGAGCCACCCCCACTGAGAAGCACCCTTATCCCCTGGCTCCGTCAACACAAGGCATTAACCCATTTCAGGCATCTGTACAGTGCTAAATTAGTGTAGACAGGGAAATCTGCAAATTGCACTAACAGGATTTACTCTGTTTTCAAGTAGATCCAAATCTCACAGAACAAACAGCAGCTTTCCCCAAGGACTATATTTAAATATAAACTTTCAGATTTGTCTGGTTTCTGATTGCGTATCTACCCAGATTTGGAGAATTAAGAGTAACCTCGAGATGCTTCCTATTCCCCATCTCCTTAGCTGCTGCCAATTTCTGTGGAATTTACAAACCCATTTTCCTGTTTGTTTTTGGAGTGACTGGAGAATATTTCACTCTCCACTGTTGCTATGTAAAATACCCACACAGAAGCGACTGATTAATTACAATGGTCAGTCAAATACACAAAGTAAACAAAAGTTTAAGAACGTTATAAACAGTAGAGGGCAAAAGCTTCTTTGGTGTGATTTTTAAATTGAATGATCCTTGAAGTTTGTTTATGCTGCTGCCACAGAAAAGTCTACCACATCTAATAATTAACCAAAGTAAGTGGCTGATGTGTACAAGGTCTCAATAAAGTGCATGGCTGATATGGAAGAGTACAGCAGCAGGTTGGTAAGAAGGCTATTCTCCATCCCTAGTTTGAGCAGTTTCTGACTAGTTTCCTGGTAGTAATCCCAGCATACTTGTGCTTCCCACAAAAATAGTGCTTTTAATGCCAGCCTCTGACCAATGAGGCTTCAAATTTATCTGCTGCTTATCTGGCAAAGATAAGATTTGTCTCCCCCAAAGTTCCAAAGCTTTCCAAGGGTGGAAGCTGGAGTACCTCTACAACCACACTCCTTTCCAAGTCCCTTGGCTGCTAGTAGAAAGAAGTCTTCAGTACAGTCCTCTCTGGGTCTCCCTCTTCCTCTCCTGTCATTACCTGTGTCACCTATTTTTGATACTGCTCCTGTCTTTCCTATAAAATAGCATGAAACCAGAAGATCAAGGGGTTTTAAACTGGGCATTATGTCCCTTTAGGGCAGTGGTTCTCTGTGTGATCTGTGAACCACAGCCATCTTGCAGGTGGGCTGCAGGCCCAGGGCTCCTCCCCCCGCAGCAGGGAGCCCTCCACCCCCATGAGAGTTTGGCATGCCAGCTTTCCACCCAGAACGCACACCACTACCTTGTCATCTTAGGTGGTTGCTTGGTGGTCCACAGACACATTTGCATTAGGGATGTAAGCAACTATTCCACTAATAGTATCTCCCCACCCCCATCTGCTGCGGCTCTGCAATATTAAGGGACAGGAGAGCAAGCGCACAAATAACTTGGCTCAGTGCCTGCTCCCACCAGTCTCTGATCACCCTGCATAACTTTCCTCATTGCCATTCACAACTTAAAGTGACAGGGGAACCAGCACACAGAGGTCTTGAGACCCGTGGGAACAGGGACCGAGCCAGAGTCTTCGCGCACACTCTCCCCGTCCCTTTCAATGCAGAGCAATAGCAAGGAAAGTTATGCAGGGTGATCAGAAACTAACGGGAGGGAAGTCTGAACCAGCATCTTTGGGCTCTGGCTCCCCATTCCTTGAAATGCAAAGTGGAGTGGGGGAAGTTATGCTGGGATTGGTGCGAGCCAAACTGCACTCTGGAATAGCCTCCCCTTAACAACTAATCTAGTAGTCGCAAACTGCACTCTGGAATAGCCTCCCCTTAACTAATCTAGTAGTCAATAAAAGAAAATCTATCAACTACTTGATTAGGATTTAACATCCTTAATTTGCATTGAGCAGAGGGGTTTGTGAGCCAAAAAGTTTGAGAACCACTACTTTAGGAGATGACAATACAAGCTTATTTGGGTTCCAATCATTTGGGAAGGGGTACCGCAAGCTGCCAACTTCCACCCCCACAACCTGCTACACCTCCAGTATATGTAATAGTGTTAAATATGTTTAAAGTGTTTTTGATTTATTGGTGGGAGGGGAAGGTTGCACTCGAAGGCTTGTATCATCAATACAAAAGTTTGAGAATAGCAAGTACTACTACAGTGGGCTTTTCTGCTACCCATAGGGTAGGAATATCAACTACCAAAAACAAACGAACAAACAAAAAGCAGAATCTTGTTAATTTCACTCTGCTGTTGCTGCTCAGCAAAGCTATGAGCAATTGCAGAGGACTGGAACTCTAACAAACTACTCTCTCTTTAACCTTCTGGGACAAAGCATATCAAAAATAAATGTAGGCAAATCATTATAAGGCTCCCATATACATCACATTTGTTGCCCGATTTTTGTTAAAATTGAATTTCAAGGGAGGTGGTCTTGTTTTAGGTATATTTTATTTAAAAACAATCCCCTAAATCCTAAGTTTATTTTCACTGCTACCAAAAGCATTTGCCAAAAATGCTCTTACTGCTGAAGCACCTTAAGACTACAAAATAAGAAGGAACACTATTATACTAACAGACAGGGTCACTACATATGAGTTGAACCACTACAAGGTGTTCTTCTGTTACAGTTACTGAACTAACAGCAGTCCAAACCAATTTATGCATCTTTGTTGCAGTGTCCAACCAGTGCCTGGCAGGCATAGTCCACTGGCCTCCTCCACTCTGGGAAGAGTTTTTCTTCCTAGTTGTACAGAGCCACTCCAGCGTCCATAGATGTAGTGGGTTGTCTGCACTGTTACTGTAGCCAGCTCAGACCTAGGCTATGAGCCCCACAAGGTGGGCGAGGTCACCGTTTGAATTAGGGCAGCTTGTGTTTGTATTAGAGCAGAGAGAAACACGCTTGGAGCCACAGTGAGTTTCCCCCCCCCCCCCCAGC